GAAGGGTTCAATATAAAGCTCATGGAACTATCGCAAAGCTTCATGTATGTCATAAGTCGGGGCCTACGCTACACAGGTGAGTTTACTGCTGGCTGTTTTGGCAGCATCGATGACAGAAGTTTGTCACTTTCAAATCACTCATTTCTCGGCTACTATACCTGGCCAGGCGTTTCTCAATACCCGTGGATATACAATTCACATGTAACACTGTCATACGAGTCGTCTTCATCAAGAAAGCCATACGGGTTATTCCCTTCTATATTGATTGTTGCCTATGTCTGCTGGCCAGCACAGCGGCGTAATAGTGTGGAGATCAGTAATGCAGTACTCGTTGTTACCCGACAAGTCAGCAACATCAAGTGAAGCAGCACATCTCTCGTTCAAAATTTTGCCCCGGCATCTGCTCACATAACCAGCATCTCTCTGATATCAGCTTTTCCCTTGGCGAGACACTTTTCGATATCTTGGGCACTCGACAACATGCGACGCTTTGCTGTTGTACAATGTCCCTTTGAACGGCGATTTGGGTGAGGCGATGCTTGCCTAGCCGTGCTTGGGATGACACTCGTGTGTTTTGTTGGAGGCCAGAAGGAGGAGCAAGCCGGACACGCCTGGACATGACAGGCAAGAGACAGTCAGTCTAGCACTAGGTCTCATATAAACTAATAATCTGAGATATCAGACAGCACTACCTCTAGATGCTCATTCCACATAATTTGGAACTGTAAGCAGTTTGGATGACAGAAGGTTCTCGATGCTGAAGATAATCCCCGCTTCTTATTCGATTTTGTCACTAATTTGAATTCTCTAAGCCTTCCCCTCTTCTTCTTCTTCTTTTTCTCCTCAATCATGACTTCAAAGTTAGGCTTCTTTTATTGTTCTACGGATTCGACAAGTAGTAACGATTTTCAAATCCAAATTCCGTCATATCACTAGCAGTTTCGCACAAGCACCCACCCGTCAATATGCAACCCATCCAATCAGGTGATCTAGGCCTCACGTCATGCTCATTCTAGCCCCCATTTTCGTTGAGGACCTTGACGGCCATATCCATAAGGGCTGTTTCAGAAAAAGCAAACAATAAGTTCCAATATCCAGCCCTATTGACGAGCAACGAAGACCGTTTATTGGACGTCGAAGAGGATAAGTAGGTTAGGGTTGAATTTGGGACCCACAGTAGTTTCCTTTCCCCAACTATCCTCCTTTGCCCTTCTGCTCCGTTGCCTTATTTTTTTTTCCTGTTCTTACCTAGAACTCTTTTCCCCTCGCCAACCTCGACTTTCTTGCAGGTTCACTTGCCATCACCAGTCTCACAAGGGGAACTTTACCTACAATCACCTTCCCATCGCGGTTTGGCTTCAAGCTTCTACCACGCTACTCTATCAGTCGCTCTTAATCGGGCCTTCAAGCAGCGTCGACCATTTCCAATCGCAACTGAACCCAGTCGGTCACCAAGCGCGCAAGAATATCGTAAATTCGCATCAACGGAGCCACCTAGCTTTCCCAAGGCGCGAGAAGTAGTAAGTCACACACCTTTCGTTATGTTTGTTTTCACCAGCCCTTGCAACCCAAGATCCAAAACATTTGTGCTGTTCGCCAGAATGCACAGATGGTGCTGCGCCCCTCCCCCCTTTCTTCACCCCCTTTCCACAGCAGTTTCCATCTGGAAGCGCAATTTCCTTGTGTCTGCAACCACATTTACCACGAGCGCGGACGAGATATCAAGAATGAATCCTGCATTCTCGAAAACTTCTCCTAGTTGACAAGGTCTGCTCTTCCGTCTGGGTCATCGGACACTCTCTTCCTTTCCTCTCATGTCTCATCGTGCCTTTTGCAGTGCTTCTTCCCCCTCCATTAGACCTCGGGTTCAACTCGCACCGTGTTGCTATTTCATTGTCGCGATCTGATCCTTTTGGCCTCTTCTCCGATCTGTCAGCGTGCCAGTAGCGTGCTCATACTTTCTAGCAGGCCACAGAAGCGTTCCATCTCAACCAATCTCCCAATGCCGTCCGTCATCAACAACGAGATGGCGACTCACGATGACGAGTCATCGTTGAGTTTGTCAACAGAGTCATCGATCGGTATGTTTTCCCCTTCTTACACAGTCGATCTCTACATGGCTCAATTACCTTTGCCCACGACGCGTCGTCGCACGGGCTCTGGGCTTGATGTTTGCTTAGTGAAAGAGAAGAACAAAAGAAATCAAAGTCCCTGAGCGAGAACAGTGGCGACAACAGAACGGCGAGGCATCCGTCGAGTCACTATGCGCACTGCAACGGAGTGGCATCCGAATTCTAAAGACACCAACACGGAGTGGCATCCGTCAAGATACCAAAACAGGCACTTGTCAAATACTCAGCAGACTCAGGCATCTATTTACCAATGGAAATCAGAAATTCACTCACGACGTTCTCAAAGCATTCACGTAAAGAAATGCAGTTTGCGACATGGTGTTTGTTTGATGAGCGTATCACACTTTTGTGCGTACTAACTCTGGTTGTTAAGTCAATGGTGGAGGATCGCAGGTCAATACCCCGTCTGACGCCTCCGACTTTGGAGACACCAAAAGACAGTACCACACTAGTATTACGCCGACTCGTGCTTCACAGAGCTACCCTGTTGGTATCATGGCTTCTGACACCACACCGAAGACCAGCCTGCAGCGCCGTTCCGTCACGTTCGTAGAGCCGGACCCGCCGGCCAGAAAGCATTCCCGGATCACGTACACCATGGTCAGCAATACGCCTCCTTCCACGCCGAAGGATGATTCGTTCGACGCTCAGTACCTTTATCCGCCGAGCGCTTGTGTGTTTGTGGCAAAGTAGGTCATCATTTGTAGGAGTGGGCACATTCATCCGCTGACATATTTTGTTGTCCAGCCTTCCTGAGGCTCGGGAGGATGAGGATCTTAAGGCCGCGGTTACCAAGGAGTTCAGTTACTTTGGATTAGTATACGTCAAGATTCGCCGTGACCCCTCCAACATGCCATTTGCATTCTGCCAGTATACAGTAAGTTGATCTTCCTCGTTTGTGGAATGGTTTATCTGATACTGGAACAGGACGAAAACCATGCGAAGAACGCGGTGGTGAACGGGAAGGGTATTATGATCCTTGGTCGACCTTGCCGAACCGAGATGGTCAAAGCCAACCGTAAGATGTTCTCTCCGAATGTCTTCCTTTTCGTTTCCGCATACTGACGATCACCCAGGCACCTACGCAATCAACAGACGTGATCACAGAGACATCACTGTCCACCAAGCCATGCGCGTGCTCGAAGCTTATGGAGAGCTGAACAAGTGCTACGTCTTGCCCGCCGAACTTCAGCAGGAACTTGGGCTTCCCCCGACTGTCGTCGCGGGGTTCACGGTTTTTGACCCGACTCGGGACATGGGCCTTGTATGTACCACATTTTCTTTGGGTTGACTCCGCTCATGTCAAATGCTGATTATATTGTTCAGGTCGCCAAGGAGAACCCAGACTACAGGATCGTGCCGTACGATGAGGACAAAAAATCCATCACCCCCCCTCGCGATCCGAACAAGGAATTCCTCAGGCAGTACGACGTCGATCGGCGAACCTTGTACATCGCACACATGCCGCGGGACATTGAGGAGACAGAACTGGAGGATCTGTTTAGTCAGGCCGGCACCATCAACAAGTGCACCATCGTGCGAAAGGACATTCCTGCTTACTATGGCGCCCGCCAACACCATCACCACTATGCTTTTGTCGAGTACGAGCATATCGGTGCTCCAGATGAAGCTATCAAGCGCTTTGTGAGTGTTCCATTTCATCGAAAATAAGAGTCCAACGCTGACCATTGAGCACAGAGAGGTTTTGCATTGCGCGGCCACCCATTGAAGGTCGAACGGAAGACCACCAAAAGTGTTCGTCGAATGGTCTCGTCTCCCTTGACTGGCAGAGCTCCTGCTTCTTCCAACACGTACAGAGGCGACCCTCGGACTCCCAACACGCCGTCGAGAGCCTCTTTTGCTCACAGATCCGCCATGAAACAATTGAGCGTCCCTGAAATTGCGACCCAAGGGTCAGAGTCAGCTCCTTTGTTGCTGGCTTACTCATCCGAAGGATCGCCCACCCAGCGCAAGAATATCCACGTAGCCCACGACTGCCACTTCACGGATGGTCCTGCCATGAAGGACGCTTCTATCCAGAGAGCCTCGACAGAGCAGCATACTGTCAAGCCTTTCAAGTCGATGCCCAATTTCGCTGCACATGGCGTTCACGGTGATGCCATTCCTGCCAACAAAGTCGCCGCTAGTGTCTTTTCAGGACCTTCTGCCAATAGACGCCCCGGTGACGCCGTGCCGGGACCCCAATTTACAGCTCTGCCTCATCCCACGGCCGATGTGAACGGTAGACCGATCCATCCCATGCAGCCGTTGCCCATCACCTCGTGGGATCAGCCCCAGCCCGCGTACCCACACGTCGGCTATATCCCGGACTGGCATATGCACGCGTACATGGCTGGAATGCCCGGCACTGGCCCGGCCTTGCCTCCTAATGTCCAGCAGGCGCCTCCTGATCTGGTGATGCACAACTGGACTCCAGAGTATGCGCCGCCCATCCCCCTCGAATGTGTTCCTTATGGCTTTGTCCATTCGCACTTTGCCTACCATCCCATTACGGGACAGCACTGTGCCGTTTGGATCCCAGCGGCTGCCCACCATCCCACGGTGTTTTGAGGAGATGGAAGCCATCTCGACTGGTCCATCTTTGCCGACTCGGTTGTCGCTCTCGGGTGCGAGCTTTCCACAGTGTCTACAGTACTCGGGGCTTCCCTACTTCGTTTCGGCGACTTTGATGGTATACCTTAATGCCCCACACCTATTTCTTTGGCGTTCTCCATGGTGTCTTGAAAGGCATGGGCTTCTTTGGTATACCGAGATGGACCACTGATAACGCATCGGCATGTTTCTCGATTTTAGTCATTTTCTTATTCGCCATGGCCGTATCTTTCTTCTCGATTATGTTTCAACCATAACTCAACCTGTTTCCGGGAGCTTGTCAAAACTATCAGTTTTGGTCAGGCATTGGGTTCGACGTTTGGCTTATTGCGGCGTTCTTCCTTGGAGTCGGGCGATAGGGTCATTTGCAGCGACGTGAGCATATGCTGGTTTCGGCGCTTGGTGGTTATACCCTGGTTGTGTTTTTCTGGTTGGTGTTGGTTGGAAGAACGGTTGATCTGACCCGGCTGTTCTCGATGATTGTGAGTACTTTCACGTGGTTAGCGTTGGCGCAGCCTGATGTCTGCGTCCGCCTGGATTTGTTTAATCAATGTTGGAATCTGAATATTGGTCAGAAAGTCTTATTTGGTAGCCTGAGTGTTCTTAAGTCTACTCATGCGGCCAATACTAAACCAGGCGTGGACTTTCAGGGGACAACGGCCAGGATTAACCTAAGGGGTATCTAGGTAATAGTTCCGAGTCACACGGGGAGACTGACTGGTTAAATATGGTTGGGAATGTCGGCAATCTCTTGTATTTGGAAGCAGAGGAAGAGTTGTTTTCTGTGTCCTGGGTAAACCTCGTATCTGGTTGTCGCATAGCTACTCGACTGCTACCATTTCCACATTTCCTGAGATAGTCCCCAGTCCGAATAAATAGAAGAACAAGACATTTATCGCGCAGCAACTGTGCTGTTCAGACGCTGCACTCTCCGCACTTCAAGCCTTTTGTCGTTGTTGAGTGAAAGTTCAAGATGACACGAACCGTTGTCACACACCGCCATTGGTGGTCGGCCTCTAGGTCGTTCGAAGGTAGTATGTTCCGTGACGTGATTAGGAGGGATGCTGGAGTGAGTGATCCCATGTAGCTACGCGAGGTAGTACTATTCCAGCCAGTTGGGCCGCTTTGAGCCGAGATGTTGAAGAAGGTTTACCACCAAGTGGGCACTCAGCTGATGCAGAAAGAGAGTTGCATCACACTCCCTGTCCTTCAGGGATACCCTGCTTCTTGGGTACCTCTAGTGTACACTACATACAGCTGTGGTGAGGTCGACAAGCATGATGTTTTGATACTAACAAGCTCCCAGCTAATTGGTGTATCTTACAGTTAGTAGCTTATTCTCTAACCCTCACATAGGCCAAGCTACCTACATCACACAACCTTAATCACATCGGCAACCCTCTTGTTCCAGGCCTGCCCCGATGACGGAGACGGGAGGGAGGTACACTGTGTACAAGAGCGAAAGGGTAACTAGGGTACTATGGGATATGCTGTGGTAGACCCCCACGGCGTTTTTGAAATAATTTGAGGGCCGATGGGTCTGAATTTCTGCAGGGCTGTCTTTAGTCGTACGTAAATGCTTCTACACGGGACTCGGGGTCTCCTGGTATGAGAATTTCACTTTGCTCTTTGAGGAAACCAAGGAGGACAATGAACCTGTCTAACCTCAATAATCACTAGAACCGTCATCCGTCAATTGAATTTGTGTGGACTTTTATTCGCTGCTTTCTCGCTTACTTTTCGACTGTTCTTGCTTCAGTTCTTATCGAGTCCATCCTGGGGCAAAGCGCCAATCATTTCGACGGAGAAGCACCGAAAGCCCCACCATTACGCCCGCTCGCTTAAAAGAAAAGAGAACCTCGACAGTTCAACAACTTTTTCCGTCGCAACATCGTCCTCAGCAACCACTGGAGTCTGTTTGTATTCCAAGCAAAATCGTACCAGAACAATGGGTCAACCATCCTCCGAGGCGTCGAACGCCATCATCTATACTACATTGGGAGTTTTCCTGTGAGATGACAAACACCAAACCCCGTTTTAAGCCAGGTCGGTACGGAGGAGCGTTTATACTGACTTATCGCCGCAGGATCATGGGAACCGGTGTTGCCTGGACGATGAGAAACCAATCCAAGGGGGATTTCCTCGCCGGAAACAGGACTCAGACGGGTTAGAAGACCTTCCTGCTAGGCTCAGACAAGAGAGACTGCAATCCCCTGTTCTGCCGAGCCATCACCTACTCACACAGCCTCCCGTTGCCACTTACAATACGTTGAGCCGCAACTGACATCTCACTCTCTTCTAGCTATTCCGCTCGCTTTGAACTTCATCGCTTCCGGTGAGTGAAAGCACACAACGCGACAAGGAGGCATTCAACATCGACAATTGAGGCCTCTACTGCAACATGAAGATCAGAGCGGTAGCAACGCACCGAACAGAGCATTTCGAAAACAACGAGAAATGGACAAGACATGCGGTTTCGAAACTCCACTTTCATGATAACATCAACAACAACAATAAGGGCCCGAACTGAACAAAGCATCACCGGCGATGACATAGGTATAAGTTGAGCAGACTGACAGCATAGGTTCGTTCGCACCCAATCTCCAACCTATCTTCCATCTTCCGAGGTTGTACCCGCGCGTCTTCGTTTTGGCACCTTCTCTCCAGGTGGTGTCAGGAAGGATACCATGGATATTACTCAAGGTTAGATGAGAGGTTGCGGCTCACTACGGGCGCCGAGTCAAAAGCTTGCTCGCCTGGATCCAACCTCCCGCTCTTTCATCCTCGTCTTACACAAAAGCCTCCCAGGGGACAATGGTATTTCCGAGGATAGAGAGGATGAACAGGGAGGAGATCTGGCGACTTGCTGGACGACGAAGCTGAGATTGTACCGTGATTACTCGATCAAGTTAATGCTTGCGTGAGAAACGTGCTGCCGCTCCGATCTATTCTTCCCCTCCCCACTCCCCCTTCCCCTCTCCCCTTTACCCTTGTGGGTTGGAAAAACTAACCTGCGTAGCTCTCGGATCTGGAATCCTTTTCACTTATCCAGAAATCGCCACGTTGGCTGGTCTTCAGGGCGTCCTTGTCTATGCTTTGGCTTCCGCACTCCCGCTGTTCGTCTTCGCCTTACTGGGCCCTATCATCAGACGCAAATGCCCTGAGGGTTTCGTCCTCACCGAGTGGACCAGACAGCGCTATGGAACCATCGCGGCCTTGTACCTGAGCTTTGTGACGCTGGTTACGCTTTTCCTGTACATGGTTGCTGAACTGTCCGGTATTGGTCAGGTTGTTGAAGTCTTGACTGGTCTTAACGGGTTGCCGGTACTCATCGTCGAGTGTGTAATCACGACCATCTATACCTGTATGTGTCTCTTTGAACCCGTCGAACCCGTCAAACGATTGAATAAGTGCTGACGTGGGTGCAACCTGCAGCATTGGGCGGGTTTCGAATCTCTTTCATTACAGACAACATTCAGGGAGCGATGGTGATCGGACTCCTCGTCGTCGCATCCATTGCTATCGGCGTCGAGACCAAGATCGATACCAGCCTGATCGAGCCCTCTGGTCTTTTAAAGGATAGTCTCTTGGGTTGGCAGCTTCTCTACATCCTCCCGGTTGCCATTTTGACGAACGACTTCTTTTTGGTAAAGTCTTCCCTTGCCGAACAGGAACCGGCCCATTGTCACTTGACTAACACCCAAGCAGTCCAGCTTCTGGCTCCGCACCTTTGCCTCCAAGACCGACCGTGATCTATGGATCGGCATCACCCTTGCTGCCCTTTTTATCCTCATTATTATCACCATGATAGGCTGCACCGGTCTTATCGCCGCCTGGTCCGGCGTCTGGCCCGGCTCGGACCCGGAAAACCCCCTCCCGGGTTCCGTTGCCTTCTTCGGCCTGCTTGAGAATCTTCCTGCCTGGGTTGTCGGCTTCGTCCTCGTCATGTCTGTCACCCTCAGCACCGCCGCCTTTGATTCGCTTCAGTCCGCCATGGTCTCGTCCGCCAGCAACGATCTGTTCCGCAACAAGCTCAGCGTGTGGTGGATCCGCGTTGCCGTGGTTTTGATCATCATCCCCATCGTGGTCCTTGCCATCAAGGCGCCCTCGATTCTGCAAATCTACCTTATTTCCGATCTCGTCTCTGCCGCCACCATTCCCGTGCTGATCGTTGGCTTGTCCGACCGGTGCTACTGGTGGCGCGGCTTTGAGGTGGTCGTCGGCGGGTTGGGCGGTATCTTCACCGTCTTCATCTTCGGCGCGATCTACTACAACGACGCATACAAGGGCGCTCAGCTGATACTACTCGAAGACGGCATCTATCAGGAGGGCTGGGCTGCGTTCGGCGCCTTCGTGGCTGCCCCTGTGGGCGGTCTTTTGTGGGGCTTTGGAGCCCTTGCGCTTAGGCTGACGGTGCAATGGGTTCAGGCCAAGAGAAAGGGTGTAAGGTTCGACGCCCTTGACCGTCCAGTTGTGGTGGAGAGTGACAGCGAGGCGATCCAGTACGTTGCTGGCGGAGACTTGGAGACGATCTTGAGCAATGGACAGGAGTCTGGGGCTGGAAAGGTTCCTGGCAAATTCTTTTGAGCGGTGTCTGTATGCTTTGTACCCTATTCTTATAATCAGGGCGCAATGGCCTTGGAGATGCATGGACGGCATGCTTACAATGACCACCCAGTCATCCCTTATCGGGGTGAACGGCGCAAATGGCTAACGACAAAAAGGGGGCTGGGACAGTTGAGGTAAAGGGGGCTCGAGCTGTGGAGGTTGGAGGCTGAAGGATTAATGCGAGGTATTGGCGACGGAGAATGCAAAACATTGGCGATGGATAATATGGGGGTCGAGTTTTGAGTGAGCTTCAGTTTGGATTCTCTTTGTCGTCACACGACGACGACTGCATCACGGATGCAATCATAATAGATGCTGTTACTACACTCATTGAATCAAATCGACACATTCGCTCACCACCATTCGTTTCCAAGACTTCCTATCTTGAAATAGGACGTACTATTTCCGGGCCTGCTGCTTGGATGGATTGTTTGTGTCAACCTATCCGAAATGTGTTGCTGTTGATGTCGATGACTCCATAAATAGGTAGGTAGGTTCACAACGGTGGTTGTGCCGGGCTAATGCCAGAGGTGCTGGAGGTGTGTAAGGGCGTACAGTAGAATCCCCTGCAACTGCATCCTCCAGGTACTGCATATACGCTAGTTACATAGTGCATAGGATTTTGCTGGCTGAATTAATTCCCAGCTACAACTGCATAACTGCATACTACATACTGATCTCGGACAATTTTTGGTGTGTATGCACTTACAGATTCGGTCTTGAGTAGAGAAATTTATAGTACGGGGTCGGATCTTAGTATCTCGGCCACTAGCCGGCTGCCTATTTGAGCCTAGTGCCACTTTTAGGAACTGCATATCCGCCATTTAGTGCATCAGCTTTTTGTTGCAGGATTACATGCAAAATTAGGGGGCGATACTGTACCTACAAGTACACTAGGATGCTGCTGCTTGGCACTGCCTGCCGCGAAATGCGCCGCGCCGGTTGGCGATCTGGGCGGCGAACCGCTGTTCCTGACCAGCCAAAATCCATAACCCTATGTGCCGGTATTTGCTAGCAGTGAGCGGATCCAACGAGTGGACATCCAATTTCATCATGAGCACGAGGCACCACCATAGAATCCGACGCGCACGTTTAGCTGAGGTACCCGTATGTTCACGTGGCAGCTTCACCGACCGACAAGCTGTGTAGTTCTCAGTCGCCGGAAAGGTTGACACCGAGAAGAATGATGTGACAGGAGCATCGATGTCTTGCATCAAACACACTACACTACCAAATCGCCGAATCATTAGCGCGGCTACAACGTGGACCGAGCTTTCCGGATGGTCACAAATGCACCGAGGCTCGGCAGGGGAAGGAGACATGATCGGGCAATTCGGCAGCCCGTCCATCCTGGCCGCCAGTCGATTTCGGACAACAACCCATCCCGTCGGGGCTCTGACGCCTGCCGGGCAGCCGTTGCTGGAAGGCTTCTTCATCCGGGGTCTGTTGACTCCTTTTGGCGCTCGCTAGTGTAAACACCAAACCAAACAAAATCGAGCAACCGGGCAGGGGACACCGGGTGATCGCTGGATCGGTGCTGCTACGTATCTCCTGTGTCTAGCCAGGGGACATAAATTGTGCATATGGACCGTTTGTCCACGGATTCCCCTTCGAGGTTGAGACTACCAGCAGTTCACACCATGTCGGCTTCAGCCTCTTGTCTATCTCCGTCGTCACCGGAGCTGCTTAAGCACAGCAATACTGAACTGGACTGTCCGACGGTGTGTTTTCTCCCCTCTCCTTTTACATTACCATCCATGCCGAAAGAATCGCTTCTTCTTCGCTTGAGCGAGTTCCACCTTACAAATAGCTTTGGGCCTATTCTCGCCTCTAGATACCCTGGCGGGTTCGTGGACACATCAAATTTAAATGCTCCAACGCCTAGCAACGATGGAGACGATCCGGTCATTAAACCCAAGGATCCCCTTCTCCTCACCCACCCGTCCATCTTTGTGCTCTGGGTGCTTGTGGGCAGTGTGTATGTCGACCTGTGTTTTCCCTACGGCCACTGCAGTGTTCCGTGTTCTCGCAGTGTCTGGTTTAACCCGTTGCAAAGACCATACCCGCATACTTGCAGGTCACTCCTCAGCAGGGCCCTTTCTTCATTCCTTTTGCCCAATCGAGTGATTGGCGGGGGATAAGCAAGCACAGTACTAGAGCTCATCTGTTCGCTCATCTGAATTCTTCGGGAACCGGTGGATATCAGATTTGCCTCGTGGGTAGTTTGGATAGGTAGTTGGACTTCTTGGGACTCAAGGGTGGTCCTCTGGAAAGGAATCTTACTTCCAAACCGTTGCCTCGCTCCAAGTCCTCCTCCAGTCTGCCGCACCGGACAACGAGCCTTGCCTTCTCTCGCTACAACACATCACCACTTGCAATTCACAGACACGCATCTACAAACGGACTAAACCCGGACTATCGTCACTCATTTGCTCTATCACTGGACCAAGACAGATAGGAGAGGACGTCTTTAGGAGCTGTTCGTCGCCCTCTGTCTCGCCATACAGCTGTCCTCAACCAACAATCATACCGGATCTCGCTCACTGAGTTTTCTACATCTCGCTTTGCTCAATCTCACCGTGTTTCGCCTACACAAGTCCACGCATTCTCTCCCCCGCTGCCCCTCACCCCGACACTTTATACCAAGTTCGACGCTCTCTAGACAAATCACCAAGTTCACCACACTACTTCAACCACCATCATCAGCCTCACACTCTCGGTTATCACTTCAGGCGATCTACGACGGAGGCTCTGCGTTACGTCGATTCTCTGATCATATTGACGACGCCTGTCTGGACTCTTCCGTGGCAAACAAGACCCCCACTCGATCTTCTACCTGCCCCATCGACAATCTCGACACCTTTTCAGTCTCCCTCCGATAGACCTGATTAGATCTTACGGACGTCAGCTTACCAAGGATCCCCGAACTTGTTGGTGCTGGATATTGACAACAAGCTTATCGATCCACTATTGTTATCTGAAGGGGGCTGGGTCGCCCAGGACGTAGGATTACTGGCTCGGGGCCAACACCAACTGAAGTCAATCCTTTCATGATGGCACCAAGTCATCGAATATTCGCTCTCCTTTTCCTCTTGCTCGGGATTCTTGTCTTCCCCTCTGCAGCTGATCAGACCAAAGAAAAAGCATATGTCTATGGCACTGGCACAGATGGAGAAACACGACAGCTGGCTGTCGACCGCAGGCCGGCACTCTATACCGGTGATTTTGGAGATTGCTTAGATGGCGGGAGTCTGTTCAACGTCACAAAGTTTGATGGCGCCTATTTTGCTGATAACATGACCATTGTCCTCCATCTCGACGCGACAAGCAATATCAGAAACGAATCAACCATGAGTGAGCAAGGTCCCCAGAGAGAAAGAAACCGGCTCTAGGCGTGCTAACTGAGCTCATAGTGTATATCTCCGTTGATGCATGTAAGGCTACAGTGGAATTCCCTCTACCCGACTTTTCACAGCTGACAATCGTGCTGTAGATGGCGAAAACAGACTCTCTATGACCTTCAACCCATGCCACGCCATGATCAGCAGGTAAGATCATGACCCGCTGAATCTATTGTAAGATCTCCCACTCATTCATATCTCGCCAGTCTCTGTCCCCTCGTTGCCACCAAACCGGTAGGCGCCTATGTCATGATTCCCGTCGCGCCTCGAGACGTAAGTGGGATCCCGGACATCGCCTACGCGATTCCAGACTTCGAAGGCACCCTGAAACTACGGATATTTTCGAATACAAGTATGACGGAAATAGGATGCTTCCAAGCGGTCATGAGAAACGGGAACAGCTTTTCCCACCCCGAAGCAGTGTCTTCGGCTCTAGGCGCATGCACGATTCTAGCCATAATCGCCTCTTTTGCGACAGCCGCGTATGGCGTGAGCGTCACTCACATGAGGATGCACTACGCTCATTCCTTCTCCGTCTTCATCATCTTGGAAACATTCCAGGCCATCTTCTTTTCAGGCGCCCTCTCGCTAGACTGGCCCTCGGTTCTGACGGCCTGGTGGAGCAACTTTGCCTGGTCCGCTGGCATGATCTACACCACGAAATTCGTCAGCTCGGTCGATTCGTTTGTGGGATATAATGGCAACTCTAGTCAGATTGGAGGCGCTGGCCCCGCGCTCCTCAATACTAAAGGCGGCTTGATATCACAAATCTACGGAAAGGCCGCTGAGAAGACAGCAGAGACGATCGCGAAGAGGCATGCATATAACGCTAGCAACCCTTACGACTATAACTGGGCCGGAGACCCTGTCAGCCTTGGCTTGCCTATTCCAGGCTCCTGGTTTGGATTCTCTGGAACGCTGTCCATGGTTAAAATCCCCGCCGCCGACGCCGTTCTTGTTGGGCTCACCTGGATCATGATCGCGATCGTCTTGGCGGGCGTTGCCGTCGTGACCCTCAAGGGGTTTCTCGAGCTTTTGGCGCTGACCAAGATGATGAATACGGACAGCCTGCCTCATTTTCGCAGCAACTGGATCGGCTTTACGGTTATAGCCCTCCAGCGAACGTTCCTCGTCTCCTTCTTTGCCATAATGACTCTCACGATGTACCAGTTCACACTCCGAGGCTCAGGGGATGCAACTGTCATTGCTGGGGTTGCTTTTGCGGTCTTCCTCATCGGCGTCTCCGTTTTGATCGGTCTGGGAATTCACGCCCGTACCAAGTCCGGCAAGTTTGAATGTGGCACTGAACAGCTTATCTTCCATCGGGGGAAGATGCTTGGCTGCCTCCCCGGACTGACTCCGAGCTGGGCGCGAACCCTGAAGGAGAACGAGCTGGAGGTGCAGCCAATTTTTTCCATCCCGCTCTTCCGCATTCGCCATGTCGACGACTGCCCCGACCGCCCGACGGTTCACGAAGACCAAGCCTACATCAAGACCTGGGGCTGGATGACCGCAAGATACAGGCGCACAAGATGGTGGTTCACTGCGTTCTATGTGCCTTACCTGTTCGCTCGCGCAGCCTTCATCGGAGGCGGTGCTCACAATGTCTATGCGCAGATCTACGGCCTACTAGTCCTTGATATCATCTCGTTCGCAATGATGGTCGTCATGAATCCGTTTGAAGGAGCTCGCAATACCGCCATGGGTATCTGGATATTAAGCATCTGCAAGATCTTCACCACAGGCCTTTCCATCGCGTTCCTCCCGGAGTTCGGACTGAACAGGATTATCGTCACAGCTTTTGGTATCATCATCATTGTCATCCAAGGTTTTACGGTTGTCGCATTGTTGATCCTCATTGGCCTCGGTATTATCTCGACATGGATGTCGCTCTCTCGGAACGAGGAGAGGTTTTTCGACGAGCTGGAATGGGCCCGAGTTCGATACTTCGAGAACATGGAAAGGCGAGCACCAGACATGCCGCAGCCGAAACACGAGAAAGACAAGAACGAGGAACCAGCAGTACCGGCAGAACCCTCGTTCGAAGTGGCCCACGTGTGGCGCATGTCCAAGATCGTGGACGAGGAAGAAGGAGGAATGGGAGGAGTGGAATCCGTCAAGGACATCAGGAGCTCCACGTCGGAGGAGTGGAAGGAGGAGGATGCAAGCATCGGTGAATCAGAGGACACCCTCCCCGTCCTGGAGGAAATTCCTGAAAATGACGGCACCAGCTCGGTCGATATTCCCGTAGGGCCCGCGCTTAACACGCCCTCCCACCCAGGTAGCCGATCAGTCAGCGCCTGTTCGACCAGGTTCAGCACGGGCAGCGCACCACGGAACTCTCGCGCCTACCGCAACTCGCGAACGTCGCTCAACGGATACCTGGACGCCAAGTTCACAGATCGTCCAGAGAGCAGCGTGTCGAACAGGCTGAGCAGCCACAGTGCCAGTCTGAATCGCAGCAGCAGCTTGAGACCGGTCAGCAGTATTCCAAGCGTTTCCTACTCCAACCGGGCTTCCAGTACGTTCTCGACAAAGGGGTTGTCGACGCCGAGCAAGGATACACTGGCAAAGTACGCGGATCAAAGAAGATACTCGACACCGCAGCCGTCGGTGGAGATCTGGACCGATAAGAGCAGTGCCAGCAAGAGGCATAGTGTTCATCCTTGTTGATTTTCGTTTTGAACGAAACGGTACGGATGGATGTAGGAACTGAAACATGCATTTTGAAGGGTCATGACTGTCCTCTATGTTGGTATGTGACGTACCACAGTCACTTGCTGATGCTGAGAACATCAGGGGGTTCTTTTTTTTTTTTTCAATCTCTCTTTTTGCATAGCTTGCATATGGGCGGCGTTGTAGAGGCAAGGCTATTTCTTACACTCGTTCAGTAACCTTTGACGACAATAGTGGGCAGGAAGGACATGGGAATAGGTGTCAAATGAGGACAGATAACTTCTAAAGATCATAGACTTGACGGGTTAAAGATATATCTTATCTAGTTTTAGTGTAATAGCCATATCTTTGGTGTTCTTCTGATTCAGAGAAAGAAGAAAGAGGGTGGGTTGGAGTTGTAAATGAAGGCTGTTCATGTCGGGAGCGAGTAGTTACAAGTTACAATAGGAAGAAAGTGGTCCCTGGAGAAAGCGACCAAGATCTTGTGCATGCAGGCAGGCAGTACCCCCAACGAACGCATCGAACTCCCGAGCCGCCGCCTGCCTAGGTACCCCAAAGTCGGTTCACGTCACGTTGAAGGCATTCCCCTCCTTGCTATCCCCACAATGTCACCCCGGCTCGGCTATCAATGGAGGGGTTCAGCGGATAAGCCCCATGGGGTAGCGCCTAGAATAGTTAGGTGTAGAGGGGCAAATACAGTAACTTCAACAGTGAGAGAATCTCTGAAGCTGAACACTACCTATGGAATCTGGTAAAGACAGCAAAGAAACACATGTTTTTCAGTGCAACAGGAAGAGTTTGTTAGAAACGTCTCTAACCTAAGTAGCCAGAATCTTGTTTCGCAATCTACGGTGTAAGTGCAGATGAAGTTCACCAATGACACCCATACGCTGCCGATCTGCGACCCCTAGCCAAGAGCTATCGGACGGGGACCGCTACGCGGCTTGGTAACTGCTTTATAAGTGATTTGTTGGAACGTAGTCAGATTAGTCTAATGCATCTCCGTTGAGACGGTACCTGAAAGCGGTGAGTTTGCCGATCTGGTTACTGTAATGCAAGAATGCGAGAATGGTACCTTAACTGGCTGAGTGGAACTACGTGGACAGTCAGAATGCTTTGTAACGGCAGAGGAAGGTACCCGTTGATTGCGTCACATCTATCCATCGCCCGTTGTATATATACCCAAGCCAACAAAGGCTAACTAAGTAAGTGATGGGATTTCGGTAGAGACTAAAAGCTTTTAAAATCCGAGTCCTTTGTTTTGAAATATCCATAGTCACTTCTTCACCTTGGATTCTCCTACTTCTGATAACTGCTTGTCCTCTTCTTCTCTTTTGCATGCCGGACGAACCCAGATCACCATCAACACATCATCTTACCTTTCAACCTCGACAGCCATCCCTCAACCAAATAACTGAGCACCAAAACAAGAACAAGAAAGAAAACCCCAAACAAAAGGATACAATGGCAGGAACCACCACCACCAACACGGCCACGGGCAACACCAACCCAACCGCCAACCTCCCTCCACTCCTCGACCTAACCATCGACAACATCACGCCCAACACAATCCGGATCAACTCGCAGGCGTCCGATGCGCGGCTCAAGTACCTGATGGCGCGGCTGGTGACACACCTGCACGATTTTGCGCGTGAGACCCGGCTGAGCTCGGACGAGTGGATGGCCGCTCTTCAGTTTCTGATCAGCTGCGGCAAGATATGTAGCGATGTGAGGAATGTGGGTTACTCCTGGCAATTTTACTGATGGACATTGTATCAAGCTATGAAGCTGGGCGTTTTCTCTGTGGACTTTCACGTAATGTATATCAGCTAACGCAAAACACCAGGAATTCATCCTCCTCTCCGACGTCCTCGGCCTCTCCCTCCTCGTCGACAACATCAACCACCCCACACTTCCCGGTGGCACCGAGGGATCCGTTCTCGGCCCCTTCCACACGCACGACGCTCCCGTTCTCCCCAACGGCAGCAGCATGACTTCAGACCCCGAGGGCGAGCCGATGCTGGCGCTTTGCACGGTCAAGGATCTCAAGGGAAACGCGCTCCCCGGCGTGACCATTGACATCTGGGAGACGGACAGCTCGGGCCACTACGATGTGCAGCATGCCGACCGGGACGCGCCTAGCGAGCGGTGTATCATGAAGAGCGATGACGAGGGCAGGTTTTGGTTCAAGGGCATCAAGCCCGTCAGCTACCCGATCCCCCACGACGGGCCGGTGGGCAAGTTGCTCGAGAGGCTGAATCGTCACCCTTGGAGGCCGGCGCATGTGCATTTCAAGTTTGAAAAGGATGGGTGGGATCCGCTTGTGACGTGAGTATATTTTTCTTTATGCACCCCTTCACCGCATCATTGCTCTTGCTAATAAGTGCCTGTGGCTTTAGCGCTCTATACTTGAAGGGAGACCCTTATGAATCATCAGACGCTGTCTTTGGCGTCAAGAAGAGCTTGGTGGTCGAACTAGGGAAGGTGGATAAGGCCACGGCAGAAGCATACGGTGTGAAGGAGGGGAGCTGGCTCTTGAAGCACGACTTTGTGCTGTCCACCCAGAAGGAGACGGAGGAACTAAGAGACCGGCTAGCTGTTCAAGAGCTGGAAAAGCTGGGCTTGAATATGAAGCTGGTAGACCACTTGCCTGTCCCCGAGCTTGACTAGATCTAGCAATCAAAGCCTCAACCCCTTCCTATCAGTGCTTCTCGTCCAGATTGGTAGACTTCACCAACTTCACTACTGTCTCCAGGTAGCCAGCGGTGCCTCCGTATCGATCGACAATGACTCCAATGTCAATAGCCGACACGTCGCCCTGCCGCTTGCGCCCGACTATCGCTGTATTGCGCGTGCTAGGGATCCTTAACATCTCCTGTTCGGCTACCCAGCCGCAATCCGCGGTGATCTGGGTGACCCATGAGACGAGGGAAGAATATGCCGAGTTAGCCTTCTTCTTGTCTTTGGGTGCTGGCGCACGGAACCTCGCCCCTGTCAGGTCGTGGCTGCAGCAAGGAATCATGATGAAAGGACAATCTGATATGGCAGCCAAAATGGGCGTCCAGGGCGTCAATTCATCGGCGTGGTTGGATATAATAAAGGTGCCCTTGGGAAACCGGCCGTCATGGACGAGCTCTTCCCGGAAACCTTCACTTGAGATTTCGGAAATCCCATCCCTGCTGACAGGCGGCGGTAGCAAGACTAGCTGCTGTAAGGACTCCTGAACACCTGTGGGGGTTTCCAGACGGGTGCTGTACGTTGCCCACGATTTGCGTGACCTGGCATCGAAGCCCCAGCCCTTGAAACCTTCCAGATTCAAAATATGGACCAAGAGGCCGTTCCCGCAGCCGATGTCAACGAACCCAGGGAAGGAGTTCCGTCCATAGATGTCGGTCCATAGCTCGATGAGAAAGGCAGCGATGCAGAGGTCTTCAAAGACATGCTTGGTAGGATCGGTAATTTCGACCCATGACTCGATCAGAGCGCGAGCGTATTTCTGCTTCAACGCTGTGTACGTGTTTTGCACGCGGGCCTGCGGTACCAAGAGATCATGGTGCACCCGTTTCTGATAACCGTCAGCTCTGCCTTGTCCATGTTTGTATACGGCTTGAAGCAAGTGAGAGGCGATTCTCGTGAGCTTCTCGGGGCGCTCGCCCCCTTCGAAGTAGAGATAGGAGACAGAAACAGATCCGCGCGTCTCTGTGGGAGACCACTCATGGTGAAAGGCTATGCCTCGGACCGTAGGGTGATAATAGGGCATCTCGGCCTCTGTGGAGACGTGGGGGAGATAAATAACCAAATGTCTCTGCAAACCGCCCTCGGAATCACTACCCTTACTCTGGTAGATGAGACATGTCTGATCCATGGGCTTGTCCCTCATGGTGCTCCGAGGAATAAGCCGGCGAATCAAACATCGGTGAAGCCCAAAGCCGTCGAAGGATGGGATGTCGGGCACGTCTCCCAGCTCAGACAGGGGGGTCTCCAAGCCATTCTGGATGTTCTTCTTTGTATCATGGAGGATATCGGCGCGGAAGAGCCAAGATGAGTTGATGTTTGGGTTCTTGATCAAGTTGAGCATGACATCTTGAAAGATGACCGGGTTGAAGGTGCATTCATGACGAAAGAGAGGTCGCCAGTCTGGTTTCGCATCACCAGAGGTCGCCTGCCGAATGACCGGGACGGCATCGACTGCCAGCTCTTCCGGGGTAAATTTAGGCATACCTATGTATTTCTAGGTAGGTACTGTTCGTGGTTGATGGCGCATTGCCGTACTATGTTGGGTTGAGGTTGCCAGTGACGGTCGGCTATGACTGGACTCTGGCGTGTCTGGGTCCAGAATGGCCTGGAGAAGGCGCGGAGAAGCCGATGGTAGCTTGGAAAATCGAGGCAAATTCTGGCTGTTTTTGACAAGCGGTCTCGAGGCGATACTACATGCACCGACGGCTGTGCCCTAGGGTCCCCCGCAGTTTCCCCGTCCGCCACCTGGAATCCATGCCCAACAGGGGAAATCTACGCTATGGTGTTGTACTTACCTAACTGACGTATTTCGTTGACACACACAGCCAGCCCTGTCAGTCTCACATTCCATGTTGGGCATGATTTGGTGAAGCTGCTCAACAATGACAGCCGCGGACAGTGTAGGTTGGCTGATTGATAGTTTTTGTAAAAGCCGGAAACAGCGTGTTGGCCGTATGGAAGTGATCTATGGTTGAAGTCAAAGCGCCAGTTGCCCGGATGTCGCTACATGAATCGTTGCACAGCATGACCAACCCGTCACCGAACCTGCACCAGATCGAGGTTTATCAGGTCCGTCGGTAGTCTCGTGTGACGCGATGCTCGTGGCCGAGGTGGGGTGACTTGGCATGTACCATACACCCAGCCTACCTACCACTATCAATCGTACCTGACGCGAAGCCATACTGGCACTGTAAATGGCAGGCCTTGCCGTCTAGATTGTGCAGGCAAGCCAGTACGATTCGGAAGCAGTGTGCAAACGTAAAGTCCATAGAACTGGGAAACAACAACATGCAGTGCCACATGCAGGGGGCCAGCTGCTCCATGTATTGGTTAACAGTTATCACAGCCCAATGCTCAAATGATTGATACTGCGCTACCTCTCATGTGGTACCCGACCTGACCCTCTCGTGGCCCGCCTTAGCCAGCGGACAATAATTGATGCCTGGTTGCCTGAGCTTTGACCTAGTGGAGGGAGGGCCCCGAGACGGACGCCCCACTATTTCCACTATCTCTTCCCCTCAACCTCTTCCCTTTCCATCTCTCTCTTTCAATTCCACGTTTCTCCATCAACAAACTCCAGCATCCATTCACCGCCCGCATCCATCTATCATTTAAAAGTAGCCTGCCCTGGCACTTTTTTGACCAAGCAACTTCCAGACAAGCTCCCAACAACCTCTCAACCTACCAACACCTCTCAGCGAGACACTACCACAGTCGTCGGTCGCTGCATCCCCGCCCATCAACAGAACCCTTTCCCCAGGTACCCCGCGAACTTCGAGTTTATGTCAATCGAAAATCTTAAGACCTACGGTACGTCGCATCTAACCATACCTAGTCGTACCCCGTATCACCCACTCCCTTTCTCCCCTCTCTGCATCGGCCACCAGACGGCGCGACCGCAGCACAGTGATGTGATGCTCCACGTCATGTCTGCCATGGTCGATGTGGAACCCCCAACCCTCCACACCGCGACTCGAATCTATCCCCCCTTTGTGTCGCATCCAAAGGCGAGCTATACTAACGCGACATCCCTTAAGACCCCTTCGCCGAAGCCGACGAGGAGGACTCCGGACAGACCAAACAAACCCAGGAGTACATCCATATTCGTATTCAGCGTACGTGTCACCCTCCACCGGCATCTCCAATAACACGTGTCGCCCTCACGCCACATGCTGACACTACCTACTAGAGCGTAATGGACGCAAGACCTTGACTACCGTCCAGGGTATTCCCAAGAAGTTCGATGCCAAGAAGATCCTGAAGGTCGTCAAGAAGGAATTTGGTACGTGCTTGATGCCCCCATCCCCTATATCCATTTCCATAAATGTTGAGTCATTACTAACTCTGCCTGAAGCCTGCAATGGCACCATCATTGGCGATGAGGACTCCAAGATGGGCGACGTGATCCAGCTTCAGGGCGATCAGCGTGCCAAGATCAAGGATTTCCTTACCAACAAGGACGAGGGCCTCGGTCTCGATGCGAAGACCATCAAGGTCCACGGTTTCTAAAGCCTCACATGCTCGTCGCGCCGACACCGCCGACAGATACGCGGGTCAAGGAGCCGCCCATGTGGCACGGGTCGCTGACGTCACATCGTCAAGCGACGCATTTCGCCTACGGGCCCTCTTATGGCGCATAGACATGATACCCCAGGATGGTTAACCGGCTTTATCTTGCTATGGTTGGTAGACTGATGGCAGTTGGAGGACCTATACTTAGCGAGGCGGATCTTTTATTCGGGTCGTCATACGCTGGAAGGGCTCAACTGAATGAAATGCAAGACTACACACGGCCTGCGCGTCATCATGACATGCCGCAGCGCTTGCGGTCTTATAACAGTTCAATAATACTTCATGATACCTCTTTTACTGTGTATGATCTGTTTCTATATTCTTGCATCGTCATTTGATATGGAGTGATGCAGGTTTTTTGTGCCTTTCTAACGAAACCCTGACTCCAAACTCCGGTACAATGCTTGCTACTGTGCCTTGGACTATATATCCCAAGTATTCCAAAATCTAAGCAATAACCCCCAACCATCCAGCAACGATATCCATATCCTGCCGGGAGCGCTCTAGTAGTCCCTAGCAACAGTCCCGTAATCCATGATCTTGAAAGCAACTTTCACTACCTCCTGCCAAGCCTTGGTGACCAAGGTCCACAAGGGGATTTGTGGATAGTCGGTCCGGTTCGAATGCACCTGCGCCAGCAACGCCACCATGCTGATGAAGCTGGCCACCGAAAAAGCCCGGATCGACACGCTCGTCTCCTTTCGGATGTTGATCTTCCGCTGTGTGATATGATATAAGAGCGTCAGCATTGCCGAAATGCCTACCCATGCCGGCAAGAGCAGTCGGGGGTCTTGCGAGCCGGCCGTCAGGTAAAGTATTTGCGACGTCAGGTAGGCGTTCAGTGTAGTTATGGTCAGGAGCCGGACGATGGTCGCTTGGGGAGTGTAGTTTACGAGCCTGGTAGAGGAGTTAGTTACGGGGGTGGCTGAAGGTTTGGGGAGAAGAGGTATGTGCTCACCATCGCGACATAAGGCTATCTGTGAAGAAGAAGGAAAGGTAGGCTGATGCGCCACACTAAATTTGAGAAAGAAACATGATTAGTGGGCTGTTTGAACTCCTGGTCTAATTTGACGTAGTGATCAGTCGGTTCGAGCCTATGCTGGCTCATGAACTGCTTACCCATACGATAGCCAGCAACGTTTCCGTCAACCGCAGCCTCGCCTCAAATGAGAGGTCGGCGAAACCTGTCGCAGAAGCTACCGGACTGTAGTTATAGTTCTCGTTGGCGGTTCCCCCAGATGTAGTACTACTCCTGGTAGCACCAGCACCAGTACCAGACGACAAGAAATCCGGACTCCCCATCATCATGGCACCACCGTCACTACCGATACCGCTCGCGCAGCCCATCATGTCTCCTCCTCCGCCTGCTCCTGTTGATGTTGCACCACCACCACCACCACCACCACTCCTACCCACACCTGCTGCTACTACCCGGGCGAAAATATGTTGCCATGTCGTTGGACTGCCGCCGAAAATAATCAGGTGAAGCATGGCCAGCAGCCGGAGCGCGCTCGGAAGGCCCCACCAGATGGCAGGAAAGGTGGAGGATTGGCGACAGAGCCAGAGGAAGAAGTGCCACTTCTTGGGCACGCCTAGGGCGACGGCGACGCGGGGTTGTAGGAGTGACGAGTGGGCTGTCATGGTCTTGTTGGTTGCTGAGGCGGTATTATTCGGAGGTTTATTACTGTTGTGATTTGTATCGGTCATCGGTGTCGCTGCTCCCATCGCCGTGGACGTTGCTGCTGTTGGTTTGGGTGTTGTTGGATTGGGGACATTGTTGGCGCTGTGAACATTGGCGCTGTTGGCTTCGATGGTATTAGGATGGTGATGGTCGAGGAGATGGTAGGGCGGCGGCGGCGGCGGAGGAGGAGGAGGAGGAGGCGGCGCCCCTGGTATTTGATGTTGTTGTTGGAGCTGAGGCAGACGGCGGACAAGCCCATTGCCGCTCGGCGTCGCTGGCGCCGTGGCGGCCGCTTGTGTGTATGTGTTGACGCTGTCGGTGCTTCTGCTCTTAAAGTCGACGGCCGTGGGATCGAAGTTGCTGGAGGTATGAGTCGCTCCCCGCTGCTGTGCGGACGACTTTGCTCGGTTGCGCATGAAGATATTCTCGTCTGCCCATACAGCGAAACTAAGGACCTGGGCTGTCTGCTTTTCGGGACTCGGGGGTTCGAGGACTGGCGCGCAAATGGCTTGGAATAGGAGTCGAAAAACCTGGTCTGTTAGTTCGGCGGGACGCTCGATTGGTTTAACTCATGCAAAGTGACTGTCGTGCGGAATTGTGTCGAAGCCGAACAGAATACAAACTAAGTGGCTTTCACAGTGTACACCACGACGGGAAGCGGGCGATCCCTGAGGTCATTAATCGACGTAGCATGGCAATTAGCAGCTCCTCCTCCTCATGGCAGCTCTTCCATCCGCAACCCTTCAGGCCTAGACCCTTTCAACGTTGTCGTGCTGGGGTCTCCCTGGCGGAGGCCGCCGATTAGATGAGGGACAACCATTGGTCAGCGCAATTGAAGAACTTCTTGGAGAGCGGCAGGGCGGGGTGGGTGGTGGACGGTTCGCAGCGGGCAGCGGGCGTGCAACGCTTTTTGGGGAAAGAGAGGAGGTGGGGGGGCCGCCGGTGTCTCAATTCTCCAATAACGGCCCGTCGAACCGAGATCCGTCCGTCGTGGGAAATTTTGAGCGGTCCCGACCCCGTTCGACCCCGTCCGCACGGCACGTCTATAGGTACCTCGACCGCCGTGAGTTGTGGAGGCTGTAGGTACGTTTTGTTGGTGGTTTCCATTTTCCCAGCGCTTGCCAGGTCCGTCGCGCGTAACAAAGCTGCCGAACAGCCAGGGAATCCGGATCTCGTCTCGTTCTGAGTCCAGCTTCGAGCTCCGCTCCTCCCGGCCGTCCTCCGAGTCGCCGCCCACCCCCAACACCGACCGGCCGGAACTGACCACTGGTACATCCCGTTACAGACGAACGACAGCAGCGGCCTCCAGCGCAAAGCATATCCTACGGCTTGACGTCACACGGAAAGTTAGTTGTTGCGTGGGTATACATACACCATACCTCGAACCCTACCGAAGGACAGGGTCGCGACGAGCCAAGGTCGGCTGTGAGGGAAACAAATAGCATTCGCGATGCTGGCGGTAACAAAGCTGGGCTTGCGCGCCCGCTTGCCAGGCTCACTGGCGACGACGACGACGACGACCTCGCCAGTTATGGCCGTGGGTCGGGCTCTCTTCTCTACTTCAGAGAACAGGGCAGCCGCCAACAGAAGAACTCAAGCGGCTATTCGCAAGCATACCGGCAATGCCGTGAGGCAAACCGGCAAGCAACCGGCGCCGAGTTTAGAGAGGGCTAAGTTGGACCCTTCCAAGGCGCCTACCTTTGTTCTCCCAGGTATCTATTTTCTCCATTCAAGATCCTGATCCGTCCCCATACAACAACAGGCAGAAAGACCAAAGTAATGAAGGAAACTAACGAGTGCCACACGTCATCTCCCACGCGGAGGTGATGGATAAACCCATGAAATAGAAACCTTTGTCATTCCTCCCTTGTCACGCTTCCCGAAACAGTTCAAGCCGCTCATGTCCTACCTCTGGGGCATCATCCGTGTCAAGTCGTTGGACTTTTTACTGGCCAGACAATATCGGTTCTCGTCCATGCCTGGCTGGAGACAGAAGCCGCTGCTCTCGCTCAAGAAGGCGCCTTTGATCGCGCAGACCAAGGCCCTGCACCGACAGATGAACGAGGCCATCGCCTCGGGCGACGCAGAAATGCTAGAGAAGATTGTTGACTCGTACTTGTACGTGCCGTTGGCGGTTAACATCGAGCAGAGGCCCAAGGGCCGCACCTGCACATGGGAGCTAGTGCGCTACAACAAGGAGCCGCGCATCGTCTCCCACAAGATCTTCCCTCTGCAGGGAACCAAGGATAAGCTGTTGTGGCAGGTCACCTTGTCCATTGCCAGCCGTCAGCGCGTGGTCGAGCACGAGAGGGGCAGGGTCGTGCCCGGTAGCGAGAAGGAGCTGGATCTGGTCGAGAACGTGGTGATCGGAACCATGGTCAGCAACGAGACGTGGGCAACGCAAAATGCGTGGAAAATTATCTCTACCGTTCAGCCCATGACGCCAGAGAAGTGGGAGCGGGAGCAGGAGACGGTCAAGCTGCTGGCTGAGGCGGGTGCCGGGTCGAGCTAGTTAGAGAAGACATACCCTGGAGAGTTTTATATTGTGAGAGGCGTTCGGTGTCGGTTACTGTGTAGTGATGAGTAGGGACAGCCTACGGTTGTACGATTACACAACGGTCTAGAGAAAACAAAAATGTACATTAAGCTTCTAAGGTCCAATGGGCACCAAAATCTAGCGCGCGGCTTTCATGAACAAGACAGCAGCTGTCCACCGAGCTAAAGACGTTGGTACCAGATGTCATGCCTGAAGCAGCCATAATAGGGCCAGTGGTAAGTTTCATTATGATTTAGCATTCAATCCTTGAAAAGTGCAAATGGGTATACGTTGATGGTCCTCCGTATTCACAAAGAACAGATTGTGATGAACCGCATGATGTGATATCAATACGAAGACAACCTCAAGCAATCCCATTCCGGGTTTGACAGCCAACAAGTTCACTCGGCCTCAGTTACTGTCCATCAGACATACCATCAATTTCCTACTCGTCCCTTTGCTCGGCGACTGCTTTCAAAATCGAAAAGAAAACTCATGCTGGGTCATGTCATTTCGTTCCGTTGCCTTTGGGAAGGGGAAAAAGAAAAAAGAAAGAAAAGGAAAAAGAAAAAAAAAGGGGAAGAAGAAGAAGAAGATCATGCCATGTTATTATTCCGTTCTCCATAAAACAATCCATTACTCCGCCTTGTGTGAACCCAAATAAAAACTATGAAATCACTCATGCCTCGTCTTCCTCCTCAATTGGCGCTGGCGTTGCCCTCTCCCGTCTCCTTTTCGGCCTTCGCATCCGGTTGCTGCTGATCTGGCTCGCCGAATCATCTGGTGCTAGTTCGCTGATATCATCCTGCAATCCCCACTCGCTCTGGGTATCATCATAATAACCGCCTTGACCGGGCCCGCCAGCGCCGTATCTTTCGCCACCGGCACTCAGTCCGTCCATCATCCTCTCCTCGTCGGCCCAAGCAGGCCGGTCATAAGCTCCACTGCTCCCGCTCAAAGGCAACACGTCAATCCCTCTGTACCCAAGTCCCCTCTTCTGCTGCAGGCTCATGGCCAGCGCGGCACCCCTTCTCCTCAACGCATCCCTGACTCCCATGGCTTGCTCGTGAAGCTTCTCAAATGCATCTTCGAGCGCTTCCATGCCGTTGAAAATTTCACGCTCCAGCTCGCCCACGACCTGAATCTCTGTTTCCTCGTCGTGGCTCACTGCTCCTCGAGAGGGATAAGATGAGTTGTTCGTTGTCCCGCTGACGAATGAGGCGGGTGTTGGGCCGCGGGAAAAAGGAGTGGAGGACATAGGGCCGCCTCCCATACCGGGGCTGAAGGGAGTGTTGGTTCTTGAGTTGCGGATACCTGGGCTCAGTATACGAGGAGATGTAAATCCCCTCTCTCCCACCCCGTTGGCTGGCGTCGTTCCCCGGGAGAAGGGAGTGTCTCGTTCGTATCCATCATCATCTGCTCCCGACCAGAGAAATCCGTCAAAGCGACCTGATATCAGGATTTCCCACTCGGAATTGTTAATGTCAGAGATAGTATAGAGAAGATCGTGCATGCCAGGGTTCTTGACAAGATACATGGCTGTCTCGGCATCGCGCGGAGCCTGCGATAGGCGGTACAATCTCTGCAGAGATAGACCCGTCTTGACCACAAAATCATTTCGAGGCTTGCGTAAAGGGGAAGGAGTCGGTGCCCTTGTGGCTGGGTGGAGATCCCGCGACCCTGATAGCAGAGCATTGAAAAAGGGCCGGTCATCGGGGTTCAGGTTAGTGAGGATGGCAAAGGTTAGCGTCTCGTCATCTACCTCTTGGGGCAACGGGGCAGGGGCTTTCTCGCATGTTTGCATCCACCTGTCAACGGCTGCCCTGACACGCTTCGTTTGACGCAGATAATGTTCCCTAAACTCTTCGGCAATGTCAGGATCCATGTTGATAGGAGACGTCGGTCTCGGAGGAAGTTCTGCCAGATCCTCTTGGGCCTTGCTGCCCAGTGACGCGAGATCGAAAGGCGGCCATTGCGGCAGATCAACCCGGCCGCTGACCCTCTCGAGCACTTCTCCCCAGCCCAGACCTCTATGTGACTCGTCCGAGTGCTGGCAAATAATGCACGGGCAGCCATCGGGGCAAAGATCGCGGGAGAAGACGTTTTCCAGTCGATCTAAAAGACGGCGGGCTACGGTCCGATGACCAGTGGCGACCGCAATAGACCCATGATTTTGTAGTACAGTCTTGTATTGATTCAATAGGTTGAAGAAAGGTGCAAATAGTGTCTCAGCACCCTGCAGAGGCGGGTTCGATGGTCTGTTGCCATTTTGGCGCGGCAACACGGCAAGGAATGTCTTTGGAACAGTTTGCGGCAAGCCTCCGTTCTGCAGGAGGTAGTCAACTCGGGTTGCTTCTTGAAGATTGATACTAAGAGGAGGAGGTGGTGGTGGTGGTGGTGGTGGCGGCGGTGGTGGTGCTCGCTGAGCGGTCGTGTCTGTCACAGCCTCGGAGGCAGCAGTGAAATCAGAGGGAGCGTCAAAGCGCGCCTGCTTCGGTTCCTGGGATACAGCGGGAGGCGGGAACTGTGGCGTTTGCGTGGGCGTCTTTGGTGACGAGTCTGGTGCGGACTCGGGTGACGAATCGACCTCAATCGGCGGTGGTCGTCTGATTTGAACCGTGTCCGCCATTGACTCCATCGTAGACCCCTTGACTGCCGATAGGTCTGTTGAAGCATCGGTGTTCTCTGTCGGGGTGGTTTCGGGTGAGTGTCTGGATTGGGAAGTAAACGTCTGGGACTGTGTCTCTGTGGCTTCGCTGGACACACTGGAAACTTTGGAGAGCTTTGATCTTGCGTCAGATCGTGATCTCGACATCCGATTCGAACTTTTGGAATCCGATCGTTCTGGAGCTTGGTCACCTTCCTTCACAGATACTGGAGTCCCGGATCTCCTCCTTCTAGAGTCCGACAGGTCTGTTTCCGGTGGGCTGGGCGGCCGATCCTCCTTTTCCTTTCGTGATTCCTTCCGAAGAGAGGAAGACTTCCGTGGTGCCGAACGAGAGTCCACGGACTTTGACCGCCTCTTATCGCTATTGCCGAGGTCGGTGCCATCAGGAGTGAGCGGATCCGTACGGGTAGAAGAGATAACCTCTTTGCTGTATATGAGGTCTTTGCTGTGGACTTTGCTGAAGGTAGGATACGGTATGTTTGGCCGGTCAATGCTCCGGGCAAGCTCCGGAACTATATCGGTCATGGAGCTCGTGGCCCCTGACAGGATCGAGGACTCTTCTCTGTCCATATCTTTTGGCCGATGGCGGCGATAAGATACTGACTGGCGCGATGAACGGGAATTGGTATCGCTGTCTGTGGTTTTCAACAACCTAGGAGTCCTGGATGACCGCTTTTCTCGGAGGAGGGACGGTTCCCTGTCGTGGTCGCGATCTTTGTCCCGTTCCCTGTCTCGGTCTCGGTCCCTGTCTCTCTCCCTGTCCTTGTCTCTGTCCCTCTCTCTGTTTCTGTCTCTGTCTCTGTCCCTATCCCTCTCCCTGTCCTTATCCTTGTTCTCCTTCCTGCGTTCTCTGTTCCGGTCAGTGATGGTTCGATCACGGTCCCGTTCTCTTTCGCGGTCGCGGTCTCGATCTCGATCTCGGTCACGGTCCTTGTCTCTCCGAAGATCACTTCTGGATCGGTGTGGCAATCGATCCTCACGAATGCGGCTGTTGTTGTCGAAGTCGACATCCTGATCTTTAGAGGACGGCATGGTGAAGCATAGCAGGGTTTAAGCAACCCGCCCTAATAGTGACGGGACGCAGCTGCTGTAGCTTTTGGCAGCAAATAACGGTTGGGTGGGTGGGCTGTTTGAGAGGGTGGCCGCGCAGACAGGCGAATGTCGGGGGGTCCTGGTGGGCGTTGGCCTCGAACCACAAAGGTCGAGGGCGGTGTTGCAGTGCGCTCCGTATTCCTCTGTCGGGTCTGACGAGGGACGCGGTGTAATACGCAATAGCACAAAACCAAAGACAGGACAGCGCAACGCGGTGACTGGGAGACCTAATGCGCGGGCGGTAGGCAAGAAGACGCTGTCACAGTGTGTTTTGGTCGGGGAGCAGACGATGGTGACTGCGGGTCGGGTCGAGGTAGGATGGCGGTTTGGCTGGTCTAGCTGGAACAGATATTGCTATGATTGTAAGGAGTGTGTCATTAGGCGGCAAAGGCTTGCAGTGGAATGCGTGCGAGTAGTGTAGAGCTGGCTTGCAGGCGGTAGTAGGTTGAATGTAGTTGGATCGCTCAAATGTTCAAAAGTCTGGCTTCTTTGATTGTGCTTACTTTCACTGAAGTTCTTGAGGTATCCAAGAAATCTGAGCAGCGCCCCCTGCCCTGGGCTGGCGATATACCTGGGCTTGCCGGATGGAAACTGATGTTAAGAGCCTTACGCTTCTTAAATTTAAAAGAAATAATATTATCCATCTCCTCCAACTCCTAAAGGGTCATCTTATCTATTATATTATCCTTCTCATCCTCGTCCCAAATTTACCAAACCTCTTAAACTTCTTCTTTCTTCATCTTCTTCTCCTTAGCTACCTTCTTAAAAGAATATTTAGTACCCTACCCAATATAATAATAATACGTATAAGCGCTACTAAACTACTTTTTGTAAGGTTTAATATAATCGGACGTCGGGCGGAAGGTAGCTTCGTTAATATATCTACTATATTTAAATTCGCTCTTATTATCTTTATTCTTAAACAAAAAAATAGTAACTACAATTACTTACCTAATTATATTAACCTTAGGGATAATAAATTCCTGGGCCCTATTCTTAAAAGTTTTTCGAATATACTATAAATATACAACGTTCTATTAAAACTATTAATATTAAATTACTTCTAATATAATAAAATAATTTTAATTTACTATCTTATTTATTAAAATATATTTAATAGTACCCGTATTATATTATTCGAACTTACCTAATAAATAGACAGTTTATTCTTCTACTATCAAAATTCCGCTCTACTCAGAGGGAGGGGTAGGTAACACGCGACTACTAAATCGGTATAGCGCCGGTATAGTTAGTAAACTTATAGAAGTTGTAGGGGAGTAGTAGGGGAATAACTGGGGAGTAGCGGACAAACGCAAAGAGAATAGAAATAAAGCGGCGGGGGAACAATAGGGAAGCGTATGCAATAATTATATAATATAAAAAGAAAGAAATAAATTTAGCTAGGAGGAATATATATTTACTTTTGTATAGGGTGCTAATAATTTTACTATCATCTGTGCGCAGCTGGAAGCTCGGACCAATTTTCAATTGAGCATACACCTCACTTGGGCCACCGTAGAGAGGGGTTGGCACATTCAGCCGCCAACCAGACTAAAGGGTCCTCCCCCCTTTTCTTGCTGGGCTCGTAACGAATCACTTGGGCACAGCATCAACAGCAAAAATGCGTACGACCGTCGAATCAATACGACACAAAGTAGCTCGCTTGCTGCACTGTCCCTGACACGGATCGATTCGCAAAGGCAAAAAAGCTTGCACAAATGCAAACCTGACTGGCGCGCGAAGAAGATGCTGGAAGACGATGTGCGCGAGAAAGAGAAAAGGCTTTGAAGCCCACTTTTGTTCTGTTCTACCTTGGATTATCTGATCATCAAATCGCTTGGAGTCATCTCCATATCCATCCCTTTCACCCATCAACGCCGCGATACTGCATGGCGTTTTAGGGCTAGAAACCAGCAGTTCCTCATTCCTGGAATGTCCTTTTTACACTTTGTCTTGATTTTACCCCATTTTAGTTTTCCTGTTTTTGTGTCATCATTCCGTTGCCACATTGACCAGTCAGCACTTGATGGTCTTTTGGCATACTCAAAGCCATGCAACTGCTGAAGAGTCCGTTTAGAAACGATCGAGGAGACCCTGGCTCTCCAACAAGAGAATGATCTGATGGACAATGGAGCGCACGGATTGCTTCTCGCAGTCAACGACAAGATCAGGCTTGGCAGGGGTCTCATATGGGTCATTAACACCGGTGAAGTTCTCGATCTCGCCGGCGCGGGCCTTGGCGTAGATGCCTCTCTTGTCGGTCTTCTCGCAGTACTCGAGGGGGGTGGCGACGTGTACGAGGTAGAAATCGCCGTACTTCTCAACTAATTCGCGGGCGTTCTGGCGGGCCTTCTCGAAGGGGGCAATCGGAGCGGCGATGACAGCGGCACCGGACCTGGTCAGCTCAGAAGCAACAAAGGCGATGCGAGCAATGTTCTTGTCGCGGTCCTCGCGGTTGTAGCCCAGCTCGGAAGACAGCTCGTGGCGAATGTTCTCGCCGAGGAACAAGGACACGGAACGACCACCCTGCTGGTTGAGTGTTACTTGCAGGGCACGGGCGATCTGGTCCTTGCCGGAGTTCGGGTAGCCGGTAAAGAGAACAGTGAAGCCCTGCTGGGAGCGGGGAGGGTGCGACTCGCGCAGCACCTTGACAACCTCGGGGTAAGAAAACCACTCGGGAATCTCACGGCCACTGCGGAGGCGAGCGCGCAACTCGGTTCCAGAGATGTTGAGAGTACGGACGCCCTTGGGGATCTGGTCCACGGGGGCGTACTCGTCGCTGTCCGGAAGGTAGGTCATCATCTGGAAGGGAACGACCTCGATACCGAGCTCGTCACGGTACTTCTCAACGGCGTACTGCGCATCGTAAGGGCCGTAGAAGTCGACACCCTTGCTGTTCTTGCCGGGACCGGCGTGGTCACGGCCAACGATGAAGTGGGTCGCACCGTGGTTCTTGCGGATGATGGCGTGCCAGATGGCCTCGCGGGGACCGCCCATGCGCATGGCAAGGGGAAGAAGACCGAGGACGGCCATGCCATTGGGGTATCTGGGAAGGAGAGCCTTGTAGACGCGCACACGGGTAAAGTGGTCAATATCACCGGGCTTGGTCAAGCCGACGACGGGGTGGATGAGAACGTTGGCGTGGTGCGAACGGGCAGCGCGGACGGTCAACTCTCTGTGGGCGCGGTGCATGGGGTTACGGGTCTGGAAGGCAACGACTCGGGACCAGCCGAGCTTGTCGAAGTGAGTGCGGATCTCCGCGGGCGAGTCTGTTATCCCATCTCGCGTCAGTATAGTCGCAACATTGCAATGCGGGTGAAAGGGAGAGGCAGAGGCCGAGAAGAAGGGGGCTTGGCTGCTCACATCTAAGGTCGACGAAGTCGTAGTGCTGGAGCTTGTTGACAGCCTCAAGCTTGCCACCCACATAGTACTCCTTGGTAGTCTCGTAAAGGAACTTGACAGCGGGGTGCTCCTCGTCTCCTCCAAATACCTCCTTGGCCTCAAGAGCCCTGGAATATCGCAACGTTAGCTCTTCTGTTCTATCCCACTTCCACCCGCGCAGATGTCCCGAGTATCAACAAATCGGCCATTCGCCAAGCAATGACGCAACCACTTGGCACGCATTTCGTCCCATAGATTTCTTTGATCCCATGCCGCCCAAATGCACAAGGTGCAAGCGCATCCGGTATGTCCTCGTGGTGGAAATTCACCCCACTGCAATTCATGTCTTTGTTACGTACTTGTCAGGCTTGTAGACATCATCCACCGTCAGGATGGCGAGGTTGCGGTCGTCGCGGAAATCGCGCAAGGTGATACGGGCGCCCGCCTTCAGGCCGAGCTCGGAGATGGTTTCCTCGGACACATCGAGGGTGATGGGCATGGAGAAGAGGAGGCCAGAAGCGAGGCGGTTCTCCTTAACGACACTATTTGGGGTAAAGTCTCGTGTTAGTGGGCTGCTCCACATCCGACAAAAGGTTCGCCCTGGAGGGGCAACAACTGAAAAAAGAGAGACACGCACCCATTGTAGTCTTCCTGGTTCATGAAACCTATTGTTCGCCGGGACGAATTGAGTTGTTAGCAAATTGTCCATCATCTCCCATGGCCATATCCAGCGCTTTTGTCGTGTTCAAAAGTACGCGCAAAGCGCAATGGGTGGTTCAGCATGGCGGGGTTCACCCTTCCCAAGTCCATAACCCCACCATCATCGCTATCCAGAACAAAAGGACGGACAAGGTAATGAAATGTAAACCCCAAGACAGGTTCCGAGGATGACAAGAAAAGCATACCTTCAAGAGGAGAGAAACCACCGTTGAGGATCAACTCAAGATCGCAAAGCTGACGCTCAGAGAGGAGCAGAGCGGGAAGAGTCTCGGCCTCAGCCTCGAGCTCAGCATGGCGAGGGAGATCGCGAGCGATCAGGTCCTTGAGGACGCCGCCGTGGGGTGGGTTAGACATTTCGGATATGTAAATATGGTGAAATGATGTACGGGATATTGCGTCGCGTAAACTTCGTGGCTTCGGCGCAAGAAGTTAAGTTGCGGCGGCGTGACGAGGACCTGTTCGTTCACGAGAAAGAGGAAAGGATGGTGGGCTGGGAATGAGGAAAAGAGGAAAGAGAAAGGAAAGATGGATAGACTCTTGGGGGACCGACGATCCAAAGTGGATTGTCGTTCCGTCTTATGCTATGTAAGTCAGAGAGAGTGCCGCTAGGAAAGGTAGCGGAGACCGGGGTGGGTGGGCAAAAAGATGGGTATATACAAGTACATCCCGTCCAGATGTTAACGTGGAACGGATGGAATCGGCGATTCAGGAGGAGAAATAGATAGTCCGGATCTGGATTTAGTCCCTCGAACATGCAATCCCTCAGACAAACACCTTTTCGGCCGTGAATCCGAGAGGGAGGACCGTCACCGACCAGCGTATTCCCAGACGGAGGGACTCCGAGAAGCCGGAGTCAGCACGTTACAAATCAACACATGGATGCAGCGGGACAAGATTTCGGGTCTGCCCCCCCCCCCCCCCCCCCCCCC